TTAGGAAGAACAACCTTCAGAACACGGCCAAAGAGCCCGGAAAACCCACAACAACCATTAGATCCCGGCCGTGAAAACCTTCACGAATACATCTGGCACCTTCCTTTTCTCTTCTTTTTTAAAATTATGATACTCCCACTACGCTTTTATCTAGAACAAGCTGCTGGCCCATGTGAAAAGCCTCACAAAGTCATAACAATTTAGCCCTTATAGAACACCTCTATGCAGCACTTTCATGTGTTTCAAAGTGTACACTGAAACCCCATCATAGACTTGTCAAGCAAGCCTGTATTATTTTCCCTACTTTGTGCGCATGATAACATGGTTTGCATTTTTTGAGGTAGATTCAAATGCAGAGCCCCTGATTTGTACCTCTTGTCTCTTAAGCTTGGTAGTGTTTCCTAGAGTAAATTGGTCAGGAGAGTGCATATTCAGATAGCCACTTGTATTTAAGTACTGTATCTAAGGCTACTTAGAGAGAGAGAGAGATGGAGTTCAGAATGGTAGGAGTTGAGTGTACAGTAAATACCTGAGGCACTTGCTGAGACTTGTTTCTGTCTTCCTTGCTTATCAACACAGACTGACAAAGATGAGATCAAAATTGGGATAACTGTGAGGGATGAGTTACTTGATGTATATTGATTGCTATTGAGCCCTCTGGACTCAGATCCCTACGCTCTTCCGGCGTCCTCACCTGTCCTCCTGATGTTCTTTCCCTGTTGTGGTTTAGACATCAATGTGGCTCTGAGGAAACTGGTTTGCCTCCTGAAGCCAGACAAGGAGATTATCCACACCGGAGACCACATGACTATCCGCACATTAACTTCCCTTCGAAACTACATCATGGACTTTGACCTGGGAGTTGAGTTTGAAGAGGACTTGGGGCCAGTGGATGGGCGAAAGTGCCAGGTAAGAGGCTGAGGCCCTGCTGGCTGGCCTGTGAGGAAAAAAGTTGGCTTTCTGTCGAGTGACGTCCATCCGAGGTAGAACTGAGTTTGCCTACATGGTTTCAGATGCACACATTCTTGGCCTTCGTTTGTGCTGGCTCAGCAGTTCTTAAAGGCTGGCTTTCTGTCTACCTGAAGAACACAAAGAAAGCCATTCGCATGCAGTGAAAAAAACACACACCACCATTTCATTTACAAAGAATGAGTCCTTCAGCGCTCCTCTGTGCCACTTTGCCTTGAGTAGGAGTTTTAGAAAATACACTTGGGAGGCAGAGTGGTAGCTTTGAGATGGCTAGGGTGCAGAAATGGCTCCTCACATGAAACCTTCCATGTTACCCTTATTTCACTTCTCACACAGTGAGATAACTGGCATGCCAACTGGGCCTTCTACATTAAGCAAACAAGGCTCCATGTTTGGCCTGCGCAGCGTGTGGCTGGTGGGTTACATAGGGTGCATTGTTAGATGCCTTGCAGTCCCCTCAGCCTTCCTTTGTGGGCCCCAGCCCAGCAGAAAACAGGTCACTTATGGATCTCCATGATGGGCAGCCATTGATATTTCTGGGCTGCATTCAGCTGATTGGGTCTGATGACAACAGTAACCTGATCCCAACTCTATGCCTCTCCTTTAAGGGAGTCCACGAATGCTTATGCCCAATAAGACTTGTTAATTTTTACGATACAGCAAGACTTTCCTTTGTGTGTTTTCTGCAGTAGACCAATGTAACTGTCTCGTGGATGCCCCTCCCCACCAAATTTTCAAAGTGCTTTGCATTATTATGTTAGTTCATAACTACCCTAAAGGGCAGCACCTTCATATCACTGCTTTCTCTTGCAAAATAACGATCCATTACGATTTTGGCCTTCTGGTTGAGTTGCAGCTTCCATTATCCCTTGCTATTAGCTGAACTGGCTATAGCTGATGAGTGGACCCCAAATTGTGAGTCCCTGACTTGAAGCATGGATGGGCTACCTGATGCCCTCTTCCAGATGTTTTTTTTCTCCTAATACAGCTCCAAAGCTTTAACTCTGCTGGCTGGGACTGAGTTATCAGTTAAAACATCTGTAAAGCGCCAGGTTTCCTATACCCTGCTTTTTAAAGGATCAAAAATTTTGCAAGCGGTGCTGTGGGCCCCACTTACATCAAGAGGGAAGGGAAAATTAAAAAGCTCACCTACCACTCATACGAGAGTTTTGAGTTGCTCTGCATTTACTATAGAGCAAGAGATGGAAAAGACGGAGCTTCTCACAAAGAAATGTCTGCTTTATCCCACAGCGAGGGGCCCATGATAGCCTGGGAGTTTCATCACTGAGTAGGTATTTGAACTTTCCTAACATCCCAGCCTGGCTTTGGCCATTGCGCAGCCCTGCTCCGACTGGACATTAGAAAAGCTGGAGAAGTGAAACAGTTGAAGTATTCAGCGACAACCGAATCCAGAGATGCCTCCATGGGAATCTTGGCTTATCAGCTATGAGCAACGTGCAGCTCAGTGCTCTTAGCAAGGGTCGCTTTGGCATGCAAAGGCAGGCTTAATTAGCTGGCCTGTTTATTTCTGTTCCAATAAATGAGAGAAACCAGCCCGGAACCAAATTGGGCATACCTCTTCTGGTCTGTTGGAAAAAGAAACAAACTAGAGGGTCAGTTTGGTCCATTTTTAGATGAAAACACAAGAAGAGTTGGGCGGTATGTACCAGGATCCTTGTTGCAAACAATATATTTGTTTGTTTTATTTCTGCCCTGCCTTTCTCCCTGCAGAGGGCCTCCATATGGCTTCCAACCCAAGGCTGCTTACAATAAGCCAGCATTTCTGCAGATCCTTGGCTTGTCCCCATTTCTCTCAGACAAAGCAGGTGGTCCTCTTTCTGAAAATGTAACTGTCCATGAAGACAAAGACCCTAGAAACCTATATTTTCTGATTTGTACTCATTATGTGCTGCCAAATCACTACCAGTGACCCTAATGTGGGGTTTAAGGTATGTGATATAGTCAAGGATGGAGTCGTTTACCCATTGCCCCACATACCAGTGAGTTTGCCTGGCCAGAGCAGGGATTTGAACCCACGTCTCCAGAGTCCTCATCTGACACTCTATCCACAATACCACACTGGCTCTGTCTGCCATTTACACAGATATTGATCAATCATTAGAAAGAGACGGGGCGTTTATGGCTTTTGTTTATCCTTCTTGTAGCCCAAATAGTTCCCAGGATGGTTGACAAACAAAAGGTAACGTCTTATCTCCACTGGATTCTCACATTTCATTTCCGCTCATAATAAAACCAAAAGCACCCTTGGGGGCACTTAGAATAGCATTTAGAATATTATTCTGAAACGATTCCAGGTCTGGCCATAAAAAACAGAGACTTCAGAGCCATGTAGAAGCCATGGGTGCAATTTTGTTTCCAAGGTATTAAAAACTTTTATTGTATCCTGTGAGATTTACACAGTCTTGGGACCACTAAGACATTTTCTCATTTTAGTCGTAGCTGATCCAAACTGCCTTTCGAGAAAGCAAAGTCCTCAGATAGCAGCAAGATTTGGTCTGAATGCAACTGTGGTTACGTTGTGTTTGGGTGTTCAAAGTCTGCCCCATACATACATGCCAAAATCCTGTAAATGTTTCAACCACCATATAGCAAAAAGTGTTATGCTCTCCCCATTGCAGAGTGAGGAAGGGGCTGGGAGAACGTGAGTAGCTTCCTTACTTCCTGAGTGCCTTGAAGAAGTGCTTCAGTTCTGTTTTGTAGCTCATGGTCTTACACTTCAACCCTCTAAGCTCAAGGCTCTCAAAAACCTCATTTTGTTCAGTGGGATTTACCTCCAGGTAAGTGGGTGCCTGTTGGTTTGCCAGCTCTGCTTTGGTGCAACCGATTTGTCGTAACACTTCGGTGACTGGAGGTTCGTTTCCCTTTAAATTAATGCTATTTTTCTTCTCTCCATTCCCAACCCCCTGCCTTCTCCCCCCCCCCCCCCTGCCTTCAGACAACTGTCTACTGGGATGGAGATCAGCTGGTGTGTGAACAGCGAGGAGAGAAACGGAATCGGGGCTGGAAGCACTGGCTAGAAGGGGATCAGCTGCATTTGGTGAGGACAGAGTCCCTAACCAGCTTCCCCTGACCACAGAGGAAGCAATATTCGTGAGAGAGCTTCCAGAAGCCTCGAATGTCTGCTCTTCTCTTTCCTCTTGCCTTGATAAGTCCCAGCCAGGCCCCATGAGTTATGTGTCTTGTGCCTCCTCTGAAGGCAACGGCCCCTTGACGAAAACATCCTTCCCAAGAGTTCAAAAGTTGACAGCTCTGAGCTCAGCAGGGAGCCACCCTTTGTCTTGTCTTTTCCTTGAAATATGACCACATGATTGCTCCTGGGGCACAGAGGAAGAAAGCAAGAGATGGTTAAATCAAAAGTGGGTGGGGAGCCTCCTGGCAGATCTCCCCATTAGTATTTCAAACACTCTCCCCCTAAGTTTCTCACCCGTTTAACAACGCCAGTAAGCAGTTTCTTTGGGGTGGGGTGGGCAGATTAGTGCCATAATAGGGGAGGGGTGTTGCATTTGAGCTTTGTACTGTCAGTCCAATCCATATTATTTTCAACTCCAGACCCAGCGACAGCCCCTCCATTCTTTGTCAGATAGATGCAGAGCAGCTGTGTTGAAGAATAAGGCAGCCTTAACTAGCCCTGAAGGGCCAGCTGAGCTCGGACTAAGCCAGTTAAGACAGTGTCGAATCCAAATCCCTCTTAGGGTAAAGTGATGTTGGTAATCACAGAGGACTAGCCTCACCTTTACCTAACCTTGTACCAGCATAGTGGCTGTGAGGGACTGGGCCACAGAACAATTCTAGGTCAAAAGATCTCTGAGGTCAGAGATTAGGGCATTTGGCCAAAATTAGAGCCTTTCTCCTGGCAGAAGAGGGTTGTTTCCATTCGTAACCTCCTACATCTGGTGTATTTTTGAGTCAGGCTTGCACTATAAGTGGACTAGAATTCTGAGTGGCGAAGCTCCCTTCCAGAGAGGAAAGGAGGGATGGTCCATCTATAAAGCGGAAGGTTTGTCACAGTGGAAAACATGGCGTATTTCGCCAGCTTGTGCAAAGGGTCTGGCAAGCTTATAGCACATGAATGCAATCGATGCCATCGTATAATGGGAATAAAATAAGAATCAGGCTAAAGTTTAGGTTTATTCAATGTCAGTATCCAATATCATATATTAATGTATCAAGGAAATTAACTTTGATTTTGGATTACAAAATCACACTTTTGATATCAGAAGAGTGTCGAAGTACCTTGTCCATTAATTAACTTCCAAAAAGTTCTAATAGAACTGACTGTGAGCTTGTCCAGATGGGTGTTTGTATCACTTTTGGTGCATTTGGATTCAAATCAAATTGTGGTGTCCACACTTGCTTTGACTTAGAATACTCCATCCCACCCCTTTTTAGATCTGTCCCACTCTTCTGGCATAGAACATCTTCTTTTACTACTGCTACTTCTTCTTCTTGGCACAATTCAGCACTCTCCTAATTATCCCATTGTGTAGCCTGTGTGGATGGTTATTTTGCACCCAGAGTTGTGGGCAGTGTTATCTGAGGTGATAACCCTGTGACATATTTGGTGGCTTGTGACATTTTGATGGACAACAAGAACCCCCTTCCTTTGTTTTCATTTTCTCTGTCACAGTTTTTTAAAAATTGCCTATTGATGCAGCGCTATTCCAGATAAATGAAATACATTGGCAGTATTATGTGTACGAGAATAGGTAGACACATTGCTGTTTCACTATGTCACTTTATTTACCCCCCCCCCAAAAGGAAAGTCATTGTGGCCTGTTTAATGACAGCCATGGAAAAGGTGGAGAAGGGAGCTATATGGGCCTCCACAACCCAAATTCATCAATAGATGACAGCATCTCTCTCTCTTCCCCCCCCCAATTATTTTTGGCTTAGTGATTGCTGTGGGGGGGGAGGAAATGTGGGGAAAGTATACAAAAGCAACTGCTAGGGAAACCAGGTAGAGTGGAGACTGGCTTTCCTTGGATGCCCACATGCATTCACACATGCACAATCACACATTATACAAAAGCAACTGCTAGGGAAACCAGCTAGAGTAGAGACTGGCTTTCCTTGGACGCACACGCGCATTCACACACACACACAATCACACATGTGCATGGACACAAACACACACACACACACACACACACACACACACACATCTGAAAAAATAAAGAATAAAGTACCTATCTTTGGGTCACCAGCTCAAGCTTTTACAGCTCGCTAGCGGAGCTAATGTTGTGTCCTCACTGCTGCCTGACAGAAGGAGAGAGAGAAGGGGGGAGGGTGAGTGACCAACTCTATGGGCCCTGTCCCCCAAAAGGCAGCACAGCCCCACCAGAGCCTCAGCTGAGAAGAAAGGTGGGGAAAGGAAGGGCTGCCTTCCATCTCCCCAACCCTCACCCCAGTATTTCCCCCTCACTCCAGTACCACCACCACCGCAAGCTAAAACATGTTTTCCAAAATGTCCTGATTGCCAGATTGGCTTGGGCTTATTCATCTTTCACAGCCGCATTTCATTGTAAAATATATATGAAATAAATGCAAACACAGCAAGTTGCCCATCTTCCAGGTGCAAAGGGAAGGCAGAAATTTGCCTTCACTGCTAAAATACATGGGAATCATTGGCCCATTTAGGTTCTTTTGCACTGAGATGAAATTGTTCACATCCTACCATCCAACAGAGAGCAATTATTTCAAAAATGAAGCAAGCCTGCTGTGCTATGTTTGGGGACCTTTCTGCCAAACCTGACCTTATGCCCATTAATATTTCTCGTTAAAAGCCAGTGGATTTGGAGGTGCCATTAAAGAGGAAGAGGTGGATCTAAATTGGGGCAGGTTTAAACCGCTGGGAAGTTTCCAACACATGCGGCTGAAGGGAATATAAGTGGTTGGCTTTTTGGGCCCTTCAGGAATTTAAGTTTCCTTCTATTTATCCAGTGTTCTGGCGGACTGTCTGTCAGGCTGCAGGAGTGGATGTTGTGCCCAAAGCAACACAATAATGGCATCCAGCTGTGGTTTTACACAAGTTTCTTTCTTCCCAAAGAGGAAGCCAAGGCTCGGCAATGGATGAGCGCAAGTCACTCAAAACTGTACCACCATTTGGATAACCATCTTCCACTCCAACTCCCATCCCTTTTCAGGACAGATGAGATTATTCTTTCAGGCTAAAAAACATCTAATAACCCAACAAAAGTCTGGATATCCCAGTGGTTTAGGAGATTGGGACTTTGATTCCCCACTGTGTCTCTTTGACAAGGGGCTGGGGCAGAACTAGCTCCGCAGTTCTAGGATGATAATGATGATTATGATGATTAGTGAGGAACCACAAAAAAGGGGTTTAGGAGATTGGGACTTTGATTCCCCACTGTGTCTCCTTGACAAGGGGCTGGGGCAGAACTAGCTCTGCAGTTCTAGGATGATAATGATGATTATGATGATTAGTGAGGAACCACAAAAAAGGGCAGTAAAACAGTGGACCTCTTCCTTCTCAGAATCTGCCAGGAGCTAAAACTTTAATCACTAGGTATGCTACTTGTTGGGCCTTGATTGACCTTTTCTGTCTCCTGCAATCCCCTTAAAGTGCTTTCCAGATGTACTAATATGGGGATCTGTCTACTGTGACAAAGAGCCATGAGCTTCAAGCAGAGAAGAGATCAGCTTGAATTCACAGCTGGACCATGGGGGTGGGATCAACAATGAGGGATCAAAACTTCCTTTACTTTTTTCCCCCTTTTTAGACTAGACCACTGGTTCCAAAACATTTTAGACCCGCAGCTCCCTTGACTTCCTGGCACTGGCTATAGCTCCCCAGTATCTTGTGGACTGCCATATCCACAAGATCACTGCCTGCAGTTTCACTTACTCACTACCTGAAAAAAAAATAACAACCCCGAGGTGTATTACTAGGACTGGCCACTAGATGGAGCCGGAGACTAAATTACAGTGATGCTTCTACTTAATTCATTCCAGAAGATGTTCGCAAATTGAAATGTTCATAAGTCGAATCAGCATTTCCCATTGAAATGCACTGAAACCCAATTAATTCATCCCACCTGTTTTTTGTTTGTATGTAGAGGCGCCGGTTGTAAATCGAAGCATTAGTTCCCATAGGAACTAATGCAAAACCAGTTAATCTGCCCTCTACCACCACTAGGGGGAGATTTTTTAAAAAATTTAAGATGACTTAGGTTAAAAAAAGGGCAGGAAAGGAGGGAGGGAACAATGGGGAAAAGAGGAAAGAAAGAAAGTCATCACTGGGGCACACAGAAGCCTCACACAAAGGTTTGTGCTTTTAAGCACAAAAAGAGAGAAGACACAGAGAGAAGACAATGGGTGGGGGAGAGAGTTTGGAGTCTAAAACACATTTTAAACCCACACATTTTACACCAACACATTTTACACCAAACCAAGCAACATTTTAGAGCCCATCAGCGAGCACAGACCATTGCAAAAAGATTTCTGAATTTAAAATCAAAAGACTAAACTCCATTTTAGAGCAAACCAGCCAGCACAGACCCTTATAGAAAGGGTCTGCAAGTCCCATCAGAGCACAGAAACATAACACCCCCACCTAGCCCAAACCCAAGCTGCAAAAACTCTGTAGAGAAAACAAACGGAGCAGATCAGAAATGCACAGAGAACAAAGCAAAAAGCAAGGAAAACATGCAAGAATCATTGCAAAAGCACAGAAAACAAACGGAGCAGATCAGAAATGCACAGAGAGCAAAGGGACAAGGTCAAAAACACACAGAAATCAAAGGAAAAAGCAAGGAAAGCATGCAGGAACCATTGCAAAAGCACAGAAAACAGATGGAGCAGATCAGAAATGCAAAGAGAACAAATCAAAAAGCAAGGGAAGCATGCAGGGCACATTGAAAATGGGGGAAAAACCCCAAAAGCAACCAACCCCCCCAAGACCCATTGGAAATGGGGGGAACCAAAAAAACAAACAAACCTCCCAAGACCCATCAGAAATGGGAAAAAAATACTCCAAAAAGCAACCAACCTCCCCCATCGGAAATGGGAGGGGAAACAAAAAAACAAACAACCTCCTCTCTGTCTTCTCTCTCTCTGTCCTCTCTCTTTTTGTGCTTAAAAGCACAAACCTTTGTGTGAGGTGTCTGTTTGCCCCAGTGATGACCTTCTTTCTCTCCTCTTTTCCCCATTTTCCCTCCCTCCCTCCTTTCCTGCCCTTTTTTTAACCTAAGTCATTTTAGGTTTAAAAAAAAATCTCCCCCTAGTGGTGGTAGAGGGCGGATTAACTGGTTTTGCATTAGTTCCTGTGGGAACTAATACTTTGACTTACAACCGGTGCCTCTACATACAAACGGAAAACAGGCAGAACGGATTAATTGGGTTTCAGTGCATTTCAATGGGAAATGATGATTCGACTTAAGAACATTTCAACTTGCGAACATCTTCTGGGACAGATTAAGTACGTAAATCGAAGCAGCACTGTAGTAGTGGTAGTTGTGGTGGTTATAACTGTGACCCTAATATTGATTTTAGACTTTGTTGATCAGGACGGCTGCCTCTCCCACCACAGGACAAACACAAGGAAATAAACTGAACATAATGAGTACTGGTAATAATTTTTCTCCCATTAGTGTCGTGACATACATTAGTTTGTATGTAAGGGGTGCTTCCCAAGCTGCAGATGGTCCCCTCTCTCACTCTTTCTTCTTCCCCTTCCTCTTTATTCCTCTTTTTTTAGCGTATGACCGCAGAGGATGAAGTTTGTGTCCAGGTCTTCCAGAAAGTGAAGTGATCCCAAACCCAACGCATGCCTTGTTCCAAGCGCTAACTTCTGGACACAGCAGACATCATACCCTCAAACTAGGACCAGAATTAACCAGTCAATTTCTCACACTTTGTATTAATTTTTTTTCTATTAAAAGTATTACAGATGACCAACAACTCTGAATAATTGTTTTCTTGTTTTTCTCTGCCATCTTTTTGTCCTTGAGTAGCGAGATGGGTAATCCATTTACTACAGATAAGCAGTAGAGCCAAAGTGGAGGCAAATTTAAGCAGGCAGGATCATTTTTATTCACTTGATTTCACTATCATCTTTCTAATGAAAACTGGGACTTAATTTATGGGCAGCAGCGACGGGCTGGCATAGAGAAAGAGGATGCAGAAAGAAAGGCAAATGTTCGGAAGAAGGAAAAGCCGGGCAGGGGAAAGAAGCTTCAAGTTGCCGTGAAATCCTTTCAGAATAAAAGTTCCAGCCTCTCAGGCAGGAAGGAGGGAGGAGCGATGAAGCTGTTGGTAGGCAGCGTTTGAGTAAAAGGGAATCTCTGTCATTCAGCAATGAATGTTGGTGAAATGAATCGAGTGGTGTAATCCTTTCATTTTAATAAAAAGAGGCTGGCGGTAAGGGCGTGATCACAGAGTGATTCAGGGACAGGAAGCATGATGGACGCTCTGGGAACGTCTCAAAACTTCTGCTGAGGCAGAGAGAGCAGAAATCTTGGTCATAAACAATATAAGAGAAAGGGGGTTCAGTAGCTCATCCTGCTGAAAGTGGAAGAGCAGCGATGCAGCTTTCTTCTTTCTGGGAGAAATTTGCTGAAAATTTATGTTCTTTGGATGAATGATTCTAGCATGGCTATAGCTGTGCAGGTTGATCTTTGTAAAAACAACAACGAGAAGAACAACAACCCTGCCCTGGTGTTTAATTGGAGTAGACCGTGAACCCCACTCTTTACCCAATCTGGATGCCTTGTCCAGTTTTTCAGTGGGAAACACTCCTCAGCCACAGGAGAGGTTCTACTTCTGGTTTGGTCGAATGGTTGTTTGGAAGGAGAGGACAGAATAAAATCGTTGTCCCAAAGTTCCTCCCCTTACCACGTTAGTCTACATATGCAAAATATGCCTTTATTTAGCAGACCCACTATATTTGTCATCACTCTCCGATCTTGTAAACACTCGCCATCATATATATCCTAATATTTTAGCATTACACACATGAGGAAAGTCAGGGATGTCCACAGCCATCTCGCTATCTGTAGCTAGATCACTTTATTCCCTAGCTAGAGATGGGCATGAACCAGAAAGCTGGTGATTCATGGATCAGCACAAACCTCTGGAAAATTGGATCCGTTTGTGGTCCGATATTCTGGTTCATGCTGGGGTGGGGGACTTCCCTGCTCCTGCAGCCTTTGCCTGCTTCTCTGCCACCTTTGCCACGGCCACCATATTCAGAGGCTGTGGGCTCAGCTTCCCTGCCAGTCACTGGGTCTCTGTGCATGGCAGCCACTTATCAGCTGAGTCACGGGTCCATGGAGGCAGTGGGGCCAGCTCCTTGCAAGGGAGGTGGGGAAGGCGGTAGAAGCAGGGATGGAATAAACAGTGGCTGTGGGAAGGGGATGGGTGAGCATCCCCTTTTGCTGGGAAAACTGAAGTTCCAAGGGGGGAAGGGAAATGTATTCTTGAAGGCTTTCATGGCTGGGATCTGATGGTTGTTGTGTGTTTTCCAGGCTGTTTGGCCATGTTCTTAAGGTTTTTCTTCCTAACGTTTCGCCTGTCTCTGTGGCTAGCATCTTCAGAGGACAGGAGTCAGAACTCTGTGTTCTGGTGTAGTTTTGTGGGATAGTTGAGTATTTATAGCTGTGGGATGAGCTTTTTGTCATTTTCAGGAGATTGAGTGATTATGTTTTCAAAATTTTTTTTTGTTTTGTAACCTTTATTTGCCGTGCCATTTTTCTGTATTTATAAGATTCAGTCTATGTTTCAGCATATTCTTTTCCTTTTTCACCATTTTATTGTTAGGAATATTTTGAAGTTTTAATTTCAACTTCTTATATTCTTTATATTATTATATCTCTGTCTTTTTGCTTTGTTTCTTTTAATTGTATATGATATTGCTAGGCTATAGAATACCACCTTTGCTGCGTCCCATATTGTCTGTGCTGAGGAATACTGTGTTTCATTCTCTTTGAAGTAATATTGCATTTCTTATTGGGTGATTATGGTGATCAGCATGTTTTTTGTTGTGGGTGTATTGTTGTGATAAGGTGTATTGTTGCAATGTGGCTTGTTGTGATGTGGCCAGGTATATATTGAAACCACAAAACGCAGCATCCACACCAGAATTAAAGAACATGAGAGACACTGCAGACTAAAACAACCAGAAAAATTGGCAGTAGCTGAACATGCCCTGAAACAAGCTGGGAATGAAATTCTATTTCAGAACACATACATACTGGACAACACCAGCAATCATTATGTTAGACTACACAGGGAAGCCATTGAAATCCACTAACACCAGCAGAGCTTCAACAAAAAAGAAGGAAGTCTAAAACTCAACAAAGCCTGGCTCCCAGCACTGAAAAACACAGCCTGCAAAAGGTCAACGAACTCTACCCAGCCACAAGGACCAGTAATCACTGCACACAAAAGACCAGCTGACACCCATCAATCACAGTGACAGATAATCTTTCCCCCTTATCACAACAATACACCCACAACAAAAAAACACGCTGATCACCATAATTACACAATCTCCTGAAAAGGACAAAAAGATGATCCTAGAGCTATAAATACTCAACTATCCCAAAAAAACTGCACTGGAGAACAGATAGAGTTATGACTCCTGTCCTCTGAAGATGTTGGCCACAGAGACTAGCAAAATGTTAGGAAGAAAAACCTCAAGAACATGGCCAGACAGGCTGAAAAACCTACAACAACCATCGGGGAGATGGGGGGAGGAACAGCCTGAAAAACATACAACAACCATTGGGGTGGGGTGGGGAGTTTGCCATTTTGTTTTGCTTCAGCAAAATGGGATCCCCAAACTGGTCACAAAACAAACCCGCAAACCAGCCTGGTTTGTCAGGTTTTGTAGCTCAGTTTGTGCCCATTTCTATCCACAGCACCGTAAAATTCACAGAAATTCCTAATGCAAACTATTTGCAGAGGAACAAAGTAACAGGAAGAGAAATATTTAGCATGGAAGCACAGTGGTGCAGAGCAAGCTTTATTTATAATATTGCTCTCATTGATGTTTTGGAATGCTGTTGTTGCTCCTTTTAAGTACATGATATAATAATTGATCACCTTTGTGACTTTGAAATGCACCCAAAGACCTGAACAAGGCTGTGACGGTGTGAGAATTCTGCAACAGCACAGAAAAGGGGCAGATTGGCATGGTGCAGAATTGGCCTTCACAGAGTCTCCATTTATTCAGTTTTTTTCTTTTCTTTTAAAAAGCCAGTTTTAAGGTTTAATATTTGCTCTAAAATCTTCAGCGATGCCTAATGAAATTTTAGAAACTAGGAACTGAAAGATACATATATTATCAGAATTTAGAGTGTGGGTGTGCAGATTTGTGTTTCTGGTTTAAAACTCCCAGAATTCCCCAGTAAGCCATTTTGAAAGTAGTAATACAAAACCACAAATCGGTATCGCTCTGATTCAGAGTCTGATATATTTGTTTTAAACAAATTATATTTGTTTAATTGTGGAGTGTTCAGAGTTCTGATAAATAGTTTATACTGCTGACAAACTTTTTTATTGGAGAATTTGGTTAATTCCTTTAACAGTTAGCAGAGTGTCAGGTACAAAAATGGAAGCAGTGTGAAAGAATAGCTTCAGTGGCCCACCCCATTTCACAGTGACTAGTACTTTAGATGTTAAAAATAACTCTGGAAACATTTAAAGTGAAATAAGGTATCTTTACTTAAAATTGCTGTCTAGAGTCACAGTCAGTAGGAAAAATGGAGTCGCCACACAAGGGAGAGATCCTTCCATGCTTACTGTATACTTGGAAGTTAGGAAAGGTGAGACAGAGAAACTAACAAACAAAGGAAGCAAAGCAAACAAACAAACAAGATGAGGGTCGGGGCGGCCTACAGAAGCACACCTAGCTTTCACTCACCTGGACTAGGCTGTCCTTTTCAGGACAGAAAAGGAAGCTGCTGTAGTGCTTTCTTTCTTGTGCATTATCAACAGGAAGCAAGGCCCAAGATAGACCCTAGTCTGGGCGAGTGAAAACTTGGTGTCTGCAGCTAAAATCTGTGGGCTAGAACTCCCAGAATTCTGCCTGGGAAATTCTTAGAGAATTCTGAGAGTTGGAAAAAAACAAACAGAACAAAAGATAAATGGCATATCCCTAGCTGTCATGTGATTTAATGTAATTGAGATAAGGGGAGCCATCATTATTAACAAGGAGGACTAAACAAGTTGCAGCTTCCTGAAGAATCCTGTAGAGTGGGAGTCCAAAAAAAAACCCTAAATGGCACATGCTAATGACACCAACGAAACCACAGGCAAGCAGAGGAGGAAGGAATCTATAGTCAGGTGTATTCTCAATCCTGCATTTCCACACCACAGTCCCTTGTTAAACTACAAGAAATCCAGTGGCAAAAAGCTCCCTCTACAGTCTGCTTCTGGAAATACTGCTCTCATTTGCCATTTTGGATTAGGATTTTATTTTGCCATCTATTTGCTTTGTTTTCTGGTGATTGGTGGGCATTTTCTATGGCACTGAGAAAAGTTTCTCAGCTGCCTGAGATAAATCAGTTCTGATGTTTACTTTATTGACTGCAAATCTCTCAATCTTCTTTTACAAAGGTGTGTTATTCTGCCCGTGTGTAGAACAGAAGCCTCTATGACCCGGCTTTAAATAAATTGGGGGTTGTGAAGAGGTTATTTGGGGCATTTGAATCTATCCATCTTCCATCAGTTCTGTATCAACTGTATTTATATGAAAACATGTGATTTCTCCCACCCGCATATGTTGCATCAATGTGGAAATATCCTAATCATAATCACACAACTAGATACAAGAGGAACAAATACTCTTGTGCAAACTTCAAAGTTAACACATTTATTTCACATGATTTTCCTTGGAATGTACTTCACAATCCAGGAAAAAAAATTCCAAGGAAAGGATGATAATATTTAAGGTACCATAAGAGTACACTTTCAAGAAGAGGACAGTCTTTAGTAAAATAGGCCTTATAGCCATCCTATTTCCTTCCCCCTTTGAAGGAAAGCAGATGCTTGGGTATGGTTAATAAATCTTTACAGGAAATGAGTTTACCGGCTCAGCTAACAACCTGTCCCTAGGCTCTGCTCTTGAGGCCACACACAAATGGCTTACTACCTTCACAACAGGAAATAAACATGACTCTGATGCCTAAGAAGACTTCCAGGATCCATATTGGGTAATGTCTTTGTTAGGTCAACAAAAGAAAATGGGGGTACCTTCAAACTCACTGGATCTCTTCCTTATGCAAAGTGTTACCAAAAGCAAGTCAATAGTGTATATTACATAAGGCTGATGTTGCAATCTTGCATAGTCAGAATCTTAAGGTAAAACACAAGAGGAGGGATTTGTAAACATTAACATTTTGCTCTACCAAGCAATGTGACTCTTGCACATGGGACAACCCCAGGACTACTGGGATGAAAAAAGCAGTGCTTGATGCCACAAGTCTGAACACATGTACAGTAATCCATGGGCAAAATGCACAGGTTCCTTGATAGGGAGAAGACGGCAATACAAGACAGGTTCTTTATCACTACAATGTTTGAGATATTTGCTTACTTCGGACTAAATCTATTAAAGAGAAAGTTACTTCCTCCCCATCCAATCCCAGTACAGATTAACTGGGCCAGACTAGTAAAGCCTGTGTAAATATAGGCAAGACTGTGATGTGATGCAAATCTTCTGTTCGTAGGTGCTGATGGTCAGTTGAAAAGAAAAAAATTTTCACTGCCATCCATATAAATTGATTTCACCCATGCATTTATAAATTGATTTAAATTATGCATAACTAATTTTAACTGTGGTTCTTATTGCAAGTGGGCCCACACATTGAATTAAAGCTCAAAGAACACAGAACTGCTGGTGTGCACAGTACCAAAAGGGAGGTTTGGTGCTGTGTGCTGCATATAATTGGAACAGAGAATGTGAGAAGTGTGTATCGTGGCAAGCTTGAATGTGTACAACAGAAAATGAAACATTCAATCATTATTTAAACATTGTATACATGGCACAAGAAAACAAAAGTAACCTTTGGTTATGTGCTTGGAAATGTCCTAGCCCAAAGGTAATCTGGGCTAGGACATTTCCAATCACATAACTAAAGGTGTTTGATTTTGGAAATTACAGCCTCAGAAGTAACAGCACGGCTTTAATAGAAAGGCAAGACATAGCATTTGGGAGCTATAATGTAAAGTCTGACTGAATAATATAAAATGCTATAAAAAGTGACTGGAACGCAAAAGTAAGAAATGACTTCTGATAAAGGTTAGAGACAAAAGCACCAAAGCAAGGTTACAGTTGAACATTAAGAAGGATGTGTTACTGGAGACGAAGGGCAAAATTATCCATATTATAGTATACTACAACCCTTACTTTGGAGGACCCCAGTAGGGCTGTTAACGACTGGATGTTTTAGAGGTCATTAATTCATTGTGTCATGATAAGTTCAAAATGATTTGACAACACCTAACAACAAAGTGACAAGCTTTTATGTCTAAGGATAAATCACTAAAAACAGTGTGATTTTACACACTGAAGCAGATGGAGCAAGAGTCGACAAGCAGGGTAGATCCTGGAGCAAGCTACATCCAAGGGTTTGGCATTTCCAAACGACTGGGTTTTTGTTACTTTATTTGGTAAGTTCATAAATGGGAGGCAGGATTTCACTAAAACTGGAGACAATGCATCTAAGGAAAGTTAGGATTTCATGCAGGCAGCTCTGATTTTCTTCTTAAAATTGAAGCACTGTGATTGGTATATCTGTTGAATATGCTCTATCACTATTTAATCACTATTTAATTTAAACTCATTAATCGTTTTAGCAAGGCCTGCCAAGACTTTGGATTAACAATCAGCCTGAAGAAAACACCAGTCATGGGCCAGGGCGTGGACTCACCTCCCTCTATTACCATCTCCACACAAGAATTGGAGGTTGTTCATGACTTTGTGTACCTTGCCACAACGATCTCTGACACTCTCTCCCTAGGTGTTGAGCTGGATAAACACATTGGCAAAGCAGCTACCATGTTCTCTAGACTCACAAAGAGAGTATGGCTTAATAAGAAGCTGACGGCATATATCAAGTTCCAGGTCTATAGAGCCTGTATCCTGAGCACACTCCTGTACTGCAGTGAGTCCTGGCCCCTTTGTGCACAGCAGGCGAGGAAGCTGAACACGTTACATATGTGTTGTCTTTGACGCATTTTTGGTATCACCTGGCAGGACAAAGTTCCCAATAGAGTAGCCCTAGAACGAGCTGGAATCTTTAGCATGTATACATTACTGAAACAGCAACGTCTATGTTGGCTCAGGCATGTCATGATAATGGCTGATGGCTGGATTCCAAAAAATCTCCTGTATGGAGAATTAGTGCAGGGAAATCGCCCCAGAGGGAGACCACAGCTGCAATACAAGGATATCTGCAAGCGGGATCTGAAGGCCTTAGGAATGGACCTCAACAGATGGGAAACCTTGACATCTGAGTGTTCAGCCTGGAGGCAGGTGGTGCATCACGGCCTCTCGACAATTTCAAGAGACCCTTGTCCAGCAGGCCGAGGCAAAGAGGCAGTTCCGAAAGCAGCAAAATCAGGGAGCTGGGCAGAGGACAGATTGTATTTGTCTTCAGTGTGGAAGGGATTGTCACTCTCAAATTGGCCTTCTCAGCCACACTAGGTGCTGTTCCAAATCCTCTATTCAGAGCAGTTTACCATAGTCTCTCGAGACTGAAAGATGCCTAATCTAAAAAAAATCTAAATTTAATTTTACTATGTAAATATTTTCCTAAATCAATCTCACATAGTGGCAATCATTTTGATGAAAATAAAGACAAGCCTCTTTAAGAAACCTCATCTGTGGATCTGTGCAGCACACTGGCCACTGTAAGGAGGTAAGAAACAAGGTCTCTCATTATTCTTCCTTTAAAGATATCTATGATTTTTTTCTTTATTGGACCTATTAATTACTCACTAAATTTCATTAAAACAAAAATATAAAATTGACTTTCAGAGTGTGTAGTATATAAAGTGCTGTGTATTCTCAGTTCTAGTGTATAATCTGGAATCAGATTTGTAGCACAACTGTAACAAGGAGAAGCATTTGAAATGTATTGTGTGATATGAGGAATTTTTTGGACTGAGAGAGTGACCAAGGAAGAAGCACTAAAGTGAATGAGAAAAGACCAAGAAATTATTAAAAACTTTAAAGTGTAGAAAATTAAAATATTTTGGTGATATAAAGAGAAAGGGAAAGATTAAATCTGAACATTCATTTAGGGTAAAATAAATGGGACAGAAGGTACAGGATGAGGAAGAACATATAGGCAGAAAAACTCTGGAGGCTGATTTTGGTGCAATATTTATTAAATAGAGCGGCAGCATCCAAAGCCAAGAGAAATATTATATGACATCTGCTCCTCTCCTACTGGAGAGGATCAACAGCAAGGAGAAGACTTGATGAAGGAACAAGTGATTTAGCTTCTGTTTTAATCTGCAGTGAGGGAGTAGGATCAACACAAGGAACTTGAGTGTCCCTGCTCTTCTCTAAGAAGGATGTTTCACTGGAATTACCCTCCGCTCCTCTTGCTCACCTTTCAGGGGTTCCTCTGCCTTCACCACCACTGGAACTATATCCAGTCTCTTCAGCCTAAAGTGACCATTTAACTCCCAGAAGAGGATGGGCATTAACTTTAGGAGACCAAGCCACCAACCAAGCAAGCAAGCAAACAAACAACCCTCCACCCATGTATTGTCATCTGTCAAGTATTCGGCAATCCATCACTAAACTAGACAGGGTAACCACCAAGCCTAGGCCGCTCATAGATAAAATTATATTTGATCAGCTGCGTCTCCCCCTTTTCCACCAAGGGGTAGCAACAGACCAGGTCAATGCAGACTCATATCTCCCTTTGTGCCTCTTGTGCAGCCGGTTTAAGCCAAGGAAAGCTGTAATGATGTGAATGGCATTCGTTTTTAAGACACCGCAGAATTTCATACCCGCACAATTTACTCCTCCAGACCTCGGTTCTGATCACACTACTGTGAGACATTTGTCCAGCAGGCCGAGGCAAAGAGGCAGTCACGAAAGCAGCAAAATCAGGGAGCTGGACGGGGTACAGATTGCATTTGTCTTCAGTGTGGTCGCGATTGTCACTCTCGAATTGGCCTCCTCAGCCACACTAGACACTGCTCCAAGTCCTCGATACAGAGTATGATACCTTAGTCTCTCGAGACTGAAGGACGCATCTCCCGCGCCAAATATATCATACGGCCAGCAGAGGGCAGCCGGATACAAGGCAAGAGCTGCCGGCTTCGGTTGCCCAATTGACTTGGGAACCGCAGGCTCTCCCTCTCCCCTCCCCTCTTCGGAGGGGCTGCCCCCCCCCAAGCCTCGTTCAAGCACAGCTAACAGGGTTAAGAGTTTATTGAAATCTGGGTTTTGCCGCTCCCCACCGCAGACGGCAAGAGCTGCAGGCAGGCAGAAAGAAAGAGATTAAGTCAAGGCTGCGAACATGTAAGTGCTGTTTTGTATGGGAAGAGGGAGAGGGTGGCAGAGACACCTACTTGGCGAAGATAAGGGAAGGATTAGTTTTCCTCTGACAAAAGCTGGGATTAAATCTATATCCCATAACTACGTTACACCGCCTCTGTTATTAAACGACACTGGCTGTGGGAACAAATGCAGCTTGGGACGAAGGCTGCCTCTGAGAACGGCAACGAGGGAAGTGTGTGGATGGAAACCTGAAGGAAGCGCTGTGGGTCCTCTGAAGATGGCAGATTTTTGTCTTGGTCTGATCCTGCACTGAAACGGGTCGGCCTCCACAGAACTGCTTGACAGAACAGCTGGATAGCTCAGTGGTTTAGAGCCAGATGCCCTTGATACAGATGGTCAGGACTGGATGATGATCCAGAAGGTCCTTTCTAAGTGCGTTGCACTAAAACCAGTAATATCTCTGTTAGGCATAACTGCAAAGTTATAATAAAGGGATGCAACTTTTATGTTCTCAAGAACACTTCATTAGATTTGACATTTTTTTTTAAAAAAAAATTGAAATGCACAGAAAAGAAGCATGAAGGGGGGTCCCCTCCTGCTGGCCTGCCGCCAAAAATAAAAATAAATGACTGTTTTAAGTCGGGGGGGGGGAGAGAGTCTGCACTGAAATTCAAAGCCAAGACAAACAGTATGGGCTTGACGACTCAGAGAAGGTTAGGCTAGATCTCACTAAGATACCGGGAACTGAAAACGCCTCTCCTTTCAGAGAGTAGTGCTGCTCCAAGACCTTTCGTCACAGCCAGAGCAGCAAAGACTGGACCCTTCCCAGGGAAATTGCGATCTATAGGTCTAACGAGCTTGGAATAGGAGGTCTGACAATCAATTAATGAAAGTTGTACATGAGAAATCAGGATATAAATTTGCTGTTATTGCCATTTAAAACAGAATGTTTAGTGCATCCATTTAACATGATTAGGATCTTAGTTTCTGTGCTCTACACAGGGGACACGGTGTTGTTGGTCCACACACTCTCTCCCTGAAAGAAACTTCACTCTAACTTCCCTCATTTCACCGTTCGGACTCTCATACCCAAGTCCCTTAAGCCTGGGCTAGGTGGCTCAATGGGAGTAGGCTGCGTTGGCTAAAGAGAGGTCCTGAAGGTCAGGGAGAAATCTGTTGTGATCCTTGCATCCAAATAAGGTATGCATCTCAAGCTACCTTATTTGACCTACCTCCGGTAAGAAAACAAAACTGAAAGCCTATCTCTTTGCCTCCTCCTGTCCTCTCCTCTTTCTGAGAGCAAGCATTAAGGGGTTTTCTTTTTATTTTCTTAAAAGGTAGAGCACATCCGCATTACCTTTGAAGAAATAGGCCTTTGTTTCCTTCCTCTGCCTCTCCATGGAAGGTCCAGAGGGGATTTTGTTGTTGTTGTTTGTTTTCTTAGGAAATTGCTCTGCTTTTTGGGTCCCCACGTGGAGACACACCTCTCAGAACGAGCAGTGCTGGAGAAAGAGGAGGCTGGATGGGTGCTGAGATGGTCCTGGGTGCCCATGCCCAGATAGGGCACACGGGCTCAGAGGAAACATGTTTCTCTGTTCACCTGGTGAACACGGACACAGCCAAAAAGCCAGAAGTGTAAGAAGGGAAATAGGGAGCAGGGCATATGCTTGGCCCTTTTCATAGCAAACAATTTGGGCTGCAACGAGTGTGTCATCTTGGTGCAAAAGGAGAAGTACAAGGCCTGGAGAGAGAAAAGTCCCTCAGATGAGCAGGAAGCCTTCCACAAGCTCCAGCAGCAGGACAGAGCAGGGGTGGGACATGGGCAGACTTCCAGTTGTTTGATTACAGTATCATAATCCTCCACCATCAGTGATGCTGGTTGGGGCAGAGGGCAGTTACAGTCTGGGGATATCTCTATTGTGATTATTCACAGGGTCAGAGAGAAGGAGATAGGTAAGGCTCCTCCCGGGAGCTGATTTAAAGTGCTGCATAGGCACGTGAACTGGTAGTCCCACAGTAAGGCAGCCAGAAGCAGTTAAGTCAAACCACTGACCTTTATTAGGTAAGAATGGAACACCCTCAACCCTAATGCTAACTAGCTAGACACATTCCTCTGGAACAAGCACAGAGGAGAAAAGCAACAACATCTTAGAGAGTTTGGGTGAAGAGGGGTAAAGAGACGGATGAGAGGCAGACTCTGAAAATATCACTCTCTCCGTAAATTCAGGAGAAAGCAGAGGGTAGAGAGTCAAAGGGGCAGACAGGGTCCCTGGCTTCTCTATTCCCAAATGTCCCTGGGCTGGAGGATGCCAAGCCAATGGTCTGGAGGGCTGGCAGTGAGATTTCCACAGCCCGAAGTCTGTCATAGAGTGTAGGCTACAAGCAAGACCGTGACAGATCTAAGTTCAATAGGAGTGGCAGCAACCTCAGCACCTGTTGGTGCTATTTTTCTAGCCGCCGAACCTCAGGAAAAAATGATATCCCCACCCTCGTGCAGTTAGGGGTTGCCATATTAATGCTTAGCTGGTTTTACTCGGATTCTGGGCTCCTTTATCCAGATTATCCCCCCCCTTTTCACAAACAATTGGTAAGGAGTCCCAAGTCTGCCCACCTCTGTGGCATCACAAGGGTCCATTCCCTGCCCTCAGGTTTTGCCCCAGAATCTAGGGCATGAGGCTGGCCTGGCAACCCAATAAACCTACAGGGTTCAAATGTGTATTGACAATATCTACCCTAGTCTTAAAATTAGACTAGTAGACCATTAAGGTGTCCCATTATGTGATTCAAACATCACAGCCTAGCTCTTTCCCCCTTCCTACTAGGACCAGCACAAGAAAACAAAATGTTCTGGAAAGGATACCTGTTAACAGTTGACTAATTCAGCTTTTTTGTTTTTTTTTGGTGGGGCAGAATGAGGATGTCTTTCTCTGGAAGAGCTTTTCATTCTCATCTACACATGTTGGGTCTTTGCAGGTTCCCCCCGTTCCTCTTCCTGCAGGGAGCCTTCCTCTTTGGTGCCGTTAGTTCTGTACCGACTGCAAGGAAGCTTTATGGAGAGGTCACGTCTCCCAATTACCCTAAACCGTATCCAGACAACAACATCAGCACCTGGGACATAACGGTGCCGAAGGGTTTCCGGGTGAAGCTGAACTTCTGGCAGTTTGATTTGGAGCCGTCTGAAGCCTGCCAATATGATTTTGTCAAGGTGTGTAAACAGAAGCCAGGGTGCAGGGTGGGTGAGGAGGGAGTCTCTGGAGTTCTAATACCTATCAGGTACATAGCTACCAAAAGGGGTCAAAGAAGAAGTTGATGCTTCATTTTCCCATGCGTCATATCACGGAGCCCATTTTTCCAGCATAATGTCCTCCAGATGCTTTAGACCAGTGGTTCTTAATGTTGGACAACCCAGGTGTTCTTGGACTGCAATTCCCAGAAGACTTCACCACCACCTCTGCTGGCCAGGATTTCTGGGAGTTGAAGTCCAGGAACAGCTGGGTTACCCAGGGTTAAGAACCACTGCTTTAGACAGTTCCCAGATTGGTTATGCCAGCTAGAGCTGGTGGAAGTTAAATTACAAAACAGCTGGAGGGTACCAGGTTAGGAAAGGGCTGGTATGGCCTCATCCAGACTCTAAACCACAAGCTTTGTAATGATCTTTGTTTCTTTTTGGAGACAGAAGCTCTGCTTTAGATGTAAATCAAACAGGTCCCCCCCCCCCAGCCTGCAGCTGCACGCAAAAGGCACAGCTATGGAAAATGCAAGGTTGAAAATCAATAGAGAAGAAATGGGGTGGCTGTAATATAAAAACATTGGGGTTTGTACGTATATGGATTTCCTACCGCAAACCTTTGTTTCCAACTTAGCATTTTGTGTCCCATGACATCCTTTTAAAAAAACCTCTGCAATCAAGGTCTCGCCTAGTGGGAGTGTTACTTCTTTTCCTCTCTAATCAGCAGGCCAATGTGCTATTTCATGTATCATTTAAAAAAAAAACACTACACACACCCTTTCCCCCAAGTTGCCGTGAAGCACACAGTGGCTGTAGATTGTTGCTTAAAGGAACCCTGCTGTGGGTGTGGAACTTGATTGAAATGCTTTAGGTCTTGGCTGATGCCCTACGCGACTCCGAAGTTTCCTCACCCTTCTCCCTCGGCTCTGACAGATCACGGCAGACAAAAAAGACCTGGGCCGATACTGTGGCCAAATGGACTCCAGCACTGGCAACCACCCCAGGCAGAGGGAATTCTTGTCCACTGGGAACCGAATGCAGCTGTTGTTCCACTCAGACTTCTCCAACGAGGAAAATGGTGTTGTTATCTTCTACAAGGGATTCCTTGCGTATTATCAAGCTGTGGGTCAGTATAGAACCTCTGTAATCAACATGCGTGGCTGCTCACAAAGGCCAGAGGCAGAGGCCCAAGGGAGCCTGAGAACTGCCCTGAGCAGGCCGAGGCCTCTCGTCGAGAACCAAGGAAAGGGTCACCTTGAGTGCCAGACACTCAGCTCGAGGGACCTGAAGGGAGGGAGCTGGGAAAATGGCAGGGAGGGTCATACAAGGAGAGTTTCTCTTAGCGGTAGACTGTGTGAGCTGGCAGAGCACAGCTGGCATGGGACCTCTGGCGTGTGCAAATACACAAGCCTGATTCTCTTTAAACTCTGTAAGTCAAGCGTGGGGCTGAGGGCACAAGCTCCGCTTCTGGGGTCAGATCCCTGTTCAAAATGCTTGTGGCATTCTACCACTGAGCACCAGCAGCAGCAGCAGCCCTGGCATCACAGGAGGGAGCAACAGCAGGCGTCTTGTCCAAACCTCGAAGAGCACTTGATGCCATTTGCCTCTAACCGCAATATTAAGGTCTCCTTGCCCAGCCGGAGAAGGTTCTAGAAACAGTGAGTAAAAGGATCCCAGCAGTATTTCCCATTGAGCCGAGGCTTCATGTCAGCAAATGACAGGACGCTGGCCAGGATTTCTGGGAGGGACTTCTTTCTTGTGAGGTTGAAATGTTTCGCTACTCATCCAAGCGGCTTCTTCAGTCTGAGGAGAGCTGGTAGGAGAACCCTGATATATCCTTCACGTTGGTTTCACTTCACTATTCAGACCAGGGGGAAGTGACACCAACATGGAGGATATATCAGGGGTCTCCTACCAATTCTCCTCAGACTGAAGAAATTACTTGGATGATTAGCGGAACGTTTCAACCTAATAAGAAAGAAGTTCAGTTGCCATGACTCAGCTTCCAGATAACCTCTCCTGGATGACTGAGAATCTTCACAGATATATTGGAACTACTTTGAGAGCCAAAGGCTGAGATCAGGGATAGACCTTTTTGTGATATCACAGAAGCAAGGCAGGTAAAAATAGAATGTGCCGATTATAGACATTGGCATGGGGGCACACAGATAAATGTGCCCAGAATCTGGGGATGATGCCAATGAACAGGAAATATGGCAATCTCGAGCCAGGTGGCCAAATACCCTCAAACTCTGCAAGGGCCGTGGTTATTTCTTCTAGGATTCTCTTCCTATGCTGTTCACCTAAAACACAAACAACATAGCCAGAGTCTTTCCAACCTGTGTGCCTGCTGTTGGGGCCGGCAGAAATCTTATTGCTGGCCATGGGGACTTTCCCCCATGGTTTCCAGTCCTTCTGCCAGTGGTTCTACAACAGGGCTCACAAGCTGTGACACCAACATTTCACCGTCTAAATATCATGATGGGCACAAGTGCACACACCAGCCAGCTCTCTCTCTCTCCAGTCCCCTCCTTTCACTCCTGGGATCTGGGTATGTCAATGTTCCGGATGTGCAGTGTGCAGAAAATCAATTCCATCATTAGCAGATAATACCCATTTGTAAGTGTTTTTAATTCAGACTCCTAGTATTGTCTTTGTTCTGTTCAGTGCCTTCACGATACTTTGCAAAACAATGTTATGGCCTGTAAATAGAAACTGACTCATAGAATAGGGCTTTTAACTTTTCTGATTAATTAGTAGTTCACAAGTCTCAGATATAAAACTGTTCCAGAACTTACATTTCAGTCATTTAGTGACTCAGATATAGAATAGCTCTTTTGCCAATATTTCTGTATCAATATGTGCAGGCAGAGCAGAATACTGTAGTTTGCTTTTCAGCCTCAAAGACTAGTGTTATGAAACACTGGCCAGAATTTTGTGGGTTATTTACACAGAGGCAAACTGCAGTAGCAAATTGCTGCTAGCTAACAAGTTGCTGCTTCCTTCCCTGGTCACACACCCATTCATGTGATTGGTGAATAATGAGAGGTAAAAAAATGACTTGTTAAGTAGCAGCAATTGGCTGATTTACGCTGTTGCACTTACATTGGCACAAATAACCAATAGGATTCTGGCCACATAGAACATTGCTTCTTCTACACATTTAACAATAAGGTTTCAATTAATGCAAACGTTTAAAAGTACCCTCTTTGTGTTATTTAATTTCTTTATTTAAGGCATTTATATGCCACCCATCACCCATTTTGTATTTCAGGAAGGTCAAAGTGAAATAAACACCACAAAATGACACTTTAAAAAGTAACAGCAAAAATAAGATATATCTTACGCAGTTAAAAGGACTGAATGTCACCGAAGGATTCTTAAGTCCTTGTAAGTTTTTGGGGCTGTTTGGCCGTGTTCTGGAGGTTTTTCTTCTTAACGTTTTGGCAGTCTCTGTGGCCGGCATCTTCAGAGGACAGGAGTTAGAACTCTGTCTGTGTTCTGGTGTATCCCACACACTACACCAGAACACAGAGTTCTAATTCCTGTCCTCCCTCTGAAGATGCCAGGCACAGACACTGGTGAAACGTTAGGAAGAAAAACATCTGGAACACAAACACCCCGAAAAACCTACAACAACCATCAGATCCCAGCGGTGAAAGCCTTTGAGAATACATTAATTCTTAAGTCATTCCCAAGTGTGAAATACATTGATTCACACAGCTTACCACTTTCTGGCAACTATGCTATTGTTACCTTTGTAGAGTGATGACTGACATTATTCACAGCTTGATAGCCTATTTATTTACTAATGAATCATTATCATTTTGTCCCTTATCTGCAACCTCACCTAGTCATGGAGCCATGTACAAATATGACCATCATATAAACTCCCTCTAATGTCTGAGGAAGTGGACCTAATCCATGAAAGCTCACATGAAGGAATAGTTGTTGTTTAGTCGTGTCCGACTCTTCGTGACCCCATGGACCAGAGCACGCCAGGCCCTCCTGTCTTCCACTGCTTCCTGAAATTCATATTGGTAACTTCAATGACACTGTCCAACCATCTTGTCCTCTGTCATCCCCATCTCCTCTTGCCTTCACACTTTTCCAACATCAGAAGCTTTTCCAGGGTGTCTTTTCATGAGATGGCCAAAGTATTAGAGCCTCAGCTTCAGGATCTGTCCTTCCAGTGAGCACTCAGGGTTGATTTCCTTCAAAATGGATAGGTTTGTTCTCTTTGCAGTCCAGGGGACTCTCAAGAGTCTCCTCCAGTGCCACAGTTCAAAGGCATCAATTCTTCGGCGGTCAGCTTTCTTTATGTTCCAGCTCTCACTTCCATACATCACTACTGGAAAAACCATACCTTTGACTATGCAGACCTTTGTTGGCAAGGTGATGTCTCTGCTTTTTAAGATGCTCTCTAGGTTTGTCATCGCTTTCCTCCCAAGAAGCAGGAATCTTTTAGTTCTGTGGGTGTTGTCACCATCTGCAGTGATCATGGAGCCCAAGAAGGTAAAATCTGTCACTGCCTCCATATCTTCCCCTTCTATTTGTCATAAGAAATAGTAGTTAGTCTTTAAGGTGCCACCACGTTTTTGTCCTTTTTGTTCCGGTTTGTTTTGTTTTTTGTTGTTGTTGCCTGATGTGCTTGCAGAGAAGGCTACTCCTTTGAAAACTATGAGTCCAAAGAGTGATTCTTAAGGAGTGACTCCTTACCTCAAGGTGGAATCTTTATCTTTTGCAAAGTATAAAGATATTGGTGGTTGTTGTAGGTTTTTCAGGCTGTCTGGCCATGGTTTTGAGGTTTTTCTTCCTAATGTTTTGGCAGTATCTGTGGCTGGCATCTTCAGAGGACAGGACTCAGAACTCTTGTGCTCTGGTGCAGTTTTCTGGGATAATTGAGTATTTATAGCTTTTTGTCCTTTTCAGGAGATTGGGTGATCATGGTAATCAGAGTGTTTTTTTAAAAATATATAAAGATATTCATAATTATCTCCTGGATCCACTCTTGACTAGGTGGAGATGCCGATAACAGACAAAATGATAATGATTTGTTAATCAGCTCTAGGCTAGAAGTAGTTAACCAAAATGAATCTGGTCAGATAAGCTGGTAGTTGGTTGAAATCGTATGTCCTAACTATCATCACACTTAAAAATATACAGTGAATAATACTGCAAAGTCTAAAAGTCTGAAATTTTGATAGCTGAGGCACACTTTTTTTCTGAATTAAAGCTGCACTTTATTCTTACGACAGTGCAGATTTCCCTTTCAGAGTGTGCACGAGGAACTTCCGCAGCTTAAAGTTGCTTTCTGTGTCTGCATGAGTCACTGAGGTCACTTTGTCGCTTTGTTAGAAGGTCTTCTGGGGCAGCACAGATTTCTGTTTTGCCTTTGTAGTAACTGCACAATCAATTACCTCTCAAGGCAGGACCAGACTGAAAGTAGAACCAGACCAGAGTGATAAAACATATAAGGATGCAACTGAATGGCTTCTCTGTGAAGCCATGTTTGGGGCACACAAGAAACCTTCATACTTTAAACGGATTTCTTCAATTATGCTGGCAGCTCTTCCATAATACACGCAAACTGCTGGTTTTATAATGTGCACAAGAAATCATCAAATATTGATCCCTCATGGATCAATGAAGGTCTGAGGTCTCACCTCCAACTTTTGTAAATTTAGATACTAGCAATTAAGAGAAGATGGCACATGAACTGATAGGGTCAGCATTTCTTCTTCTGTGGAAGAAAAAGTCTGGTAATAGACCTCAGGTTACAAATTACATTGTGCTTGCCATGGCATGAGAGTAGTTGATTTCCCCCTGCTGAAGGGCGGGGCACAAATTTTCCTCATAAAATAAGGAAAGCAAAATCTTCAAGCCCAATTTGACTGTGTCATGTCCTGCATTTGGTCACCTAGATTTGGACGAGTGTGCACATAGGAATGATTTGGAAGATGGCCCTCGATGCCAGCACATCTGCCACAACTATATAGGGGGTTACTTCTGCTCCTGCCAGTCTGGCTATGTCCTCCAGAGCGACGGGCACTCCTGTCAAGGTGAGCAAGCACATTTCTAGCTAAGGAGATAAAGAACAAAGAACTGGCGTAGCACTGCACTCCCGTGGAGGAGCCACGATCCAAGAGGCGGCCACTTCCGTTCTAAAAAGTCAAGGTAACCTTATTTAACCCACAATCTTATAGCTACAGGTCTATATATCTGCAGAGATTAGACATCGAGGAGCTGATGTAAAAACTAATGTGATAGCTCGTGCAAAGCAGTTTGAAGACCTCATGCTACCTAAGTGCTGTATATTACTATTGCATCCCAAAAACCCTTAGTGAAGATACTCAGTATAGATTTGGTAACCCTTTGATCTGCTTTATGCACAAACTGCAGTCAAGTGGTCATTTTTCCATGCACTTTCTCTCCATACTTAAGGGCAAAGTGGGGTTGGTCACCAAACCACGTTAGAAATATTGACTAGAGAAAGCATCAGAGGTGATGGTTGATGAGTTAATGGATGCTGTGGTTGAAGGCTTCTGAAGGCAAGATGCCAACTCCACAGTGTATCCCACTGCCACTAAACCTTCCTTTGGTCCTTTGTCTTGCAGTGGATTGCAGCAACGAAGTCTTCACTGAAGCTTCGGGGTATCTGTCCAGCCCTGGATATCCTCAGCCCTACCCAGCTCAGTTGCAGTGTAACTACAGCATACGTGTGGAGCCAGGGTTGACCATCATTCTCAAGTTCCTGGAGCCCTTTGAAATTGATGATCACCCCCAAGTCCGCTGTCCTTATGACCTGCTCAAGGTATTTCAGATCTCAAGATCATTGCAGTTTTATCATTCAAGTGTTTAGCTCTCAGTGTGAAGAATAAAGAAGCTCTCACTTCCTTAAGGAAGACCTGTACATAGTACCCCGGAGGTTTTCTCCCATGCTTCTAGTCCCCTTCTCCCATCCATATATTTTGAGATGCTGTTCCACTTTCCAAATGGTGAGAAGATCAGTGGGGCAATGCTCAGCTGATCTTGGCTTCCTTTGGAAAGAAAAGTCCCCAGAGACTGACTTTGTATGTATACTGCTCCAGAATTGCACAGCCCTATTCCGGGCAGTGTGCACATAAAAACAAACAAAATTATAATCAAGCGTAGTAAAAAACCAGATGACATAATAGCATTCTTGCAGTATTTCATTTATTTAAAAGACAGCCATAAGTATTCATTTTGAAAGCTGGAGCTTTGTGCTGTACTAGTCAGTCTTGGGCGATGTCATCCAAGAGATGCACAAGCATAGAGAGAGGAGAAAGAAATGAGAAGCAGTGCCTGAATCTGAGTCTACAAGCAGTCGTGTTGGTTCTGTGCTGTGTTGTTTTTCCTTTTGCCCAGGGAAGAGTAGTTGGAGGTGACATAGGCACTCACAGTTGCACCCTTCCATAAGGGAATTCTTGCACCCTCTGAGTTTTGATGCTCTGGTTCGAAACCCTGGTTGCGGTGGTTATAGCTCTGACTTACAAGTAGAGCAAAGTCGGAGGCAAACCACTTCCACATTGGTGTAAGCAACGGATTCTCTGCCCCACAGGAGATCTCAAAGGTGCCTTTTGGCCTTCAGCTCATAGCTGGGCTGTCTTCATCTCTGTCTCAAATTCTACTTTCATTCTCACTGTCCTCCAAATGGCTTCATTTCCCCCTCACACAGAATGTTTTGGAGGGTGGGGGGAGTAGAGTATGTGTGAGACAGAGAGCAGGTGTGTGTGTGCGTGTGCATGTGTGTGTGTGTATGGGAGTGAGGGAATGAGAAGGGGAGAGAATGAGCTTAGGTTGATGCCTCTTCCATGCACAACATTACTGAGCAATTTCCTAGCCATTTCTTCCACTATGGAGCCATCAGCTGGGCACAGCGTTGCCTTCAAACAAAGCCGCCACCATATCAACATCTTCCTGGTTGTGGAATAAACTCTTTGGCAGCTCTGAGGAAGTAAGTCACCCTAGAAGTGTTAACCCTCTGCGCAATGAACATTGATGTGTAAGACACCTGAGCTGTCATTTCAAAATCAGAAAATTAGGGTCACTAAACAGGGAAAAACTCACTGATCTTATGTATAATTAATACAAAACAGAAGAGTACACTAGTGTGAATGGGTGCTTCTCAGATGGGGAGTACAGTGTCGTCCAGCACTTTGGAAATAGCTGTTAACTCAATGAGGGAACATTTATTCAGAATGAATCTCATTTGTCCTTCCCTCCACCATCAGACTCAGTAGAATCTCAAGGGAAATCAGTTCCAGCTCTACAGCTTAGTGACTTTCAAGGTTTATAGGCCTTTCGATTGCCCTCCCTGATATCTTTAGACATCTCTCGCAGACTCTTCCAGTGGTTCCTGGTGATGGCAGGAATATGGAAGCGACTGGGGAATTCTATGTACCAGCCTTAGAGTTGTGGCTGGACAACCATAAGAGGCAGTGAACCCTCTTATGGAAGGGAGGACGTGCCCTCCCTTGAGAATGACGTGAAATGGACATTCAGGCTAGCGAAACCGTTGGAGGTAATCTAGACATTGGGAATAGAGAAATGACAGCTTGAATTAACCTTGGAGAAACAGAAAAAACAAGGACTGGGCTGCATCTGATACTATGTGTTTCATGCGTATTTGTGCTCACACACACACACACACCCCTACCTATATAAATGTAGTGCATCCATTCATGGTAGTTATTACTGCTAGGCAACATGGATCCTTGGTTTGGTATGTATCCTTGGACATCCAATGGGAGGCACAGTGTGATTGGGTTCTTCTGAAACTAATGGCAGTCCCTCACATTTGGTGGGAAGAAGAGGCTGAGACTGAATTAAAGGATTCTCACTTTCTACTTTATTAAGGCACAGAGTATCAACTGTAATGCCAACAGGGTCAAAACAAGACAAATCTGGTAAATATCCATAACTAGTCAATGCGGACCTTTCTTCCAACAATAGTCCATTCACTGTGGGGCTGGACCAAACCGTTTGCAATTGGTAATCTTGCGCAGGGGAGTACTCCTCATCACGCACACCATCCCACAGTATGGGTGACGTGCCCAATCTCCCTCCTTCGGTGGGGTGTTGTATACTGGATTGGGGCGTATCACCTTTCTCCCACATCCTTGCAAAAACATTATCACGGTCTATTCCTGGGTTTCGTAGACCATTTCTCCTTCCCTTGGAACTTCTGGATTTGGAAGTAAACCCCCTACTCTCAGATTGGGAAAGTCTTTAAGTAGGTCGCGAGCTTTCTCATACTTCTGATTACCTTTCTCTGATTCTACTTCTGTCTTGCTCTCTCAACTCTCTTTCTCCACTACTCTGCTCCCGAACCTCCTTTCTCCCCCCCCCGTCTTTTATGTCCTCCTCCCAAAGAGGGAGTTTTAACTCCTCCCCTTTTCTTCCTTCTCCCTCCTCCACTAAGCAGACTTCTATGTTCTTCTTCCCTTCCCCTAACACTCCTGTCATTCTTCCTATGTCACCCTCTTTGATATCTTTTTCCTCTTTTGCTGGTTTCGCTGATGAGGATGGCGCACTTGTCTTCTGTTCTCCTTCACACGCAGGGAGATCTGTCTCATGGGACAAAGCTCATCTGGTCATATCCCAGTATGTAACTAAATGAAACAGAAATAACACAGGTATTGTGGTACTTTAAAGACAAGACAACTTATTTCAGTGTGAGCTTTTGTAGATTACAGCCCACTTCCTGAGAGACATGGCACTTTATCATTAGGCCACAAGTTAATAAGCTCTGTGGCAACAGAGTTTACAGAGTTCATGATAACAGAGTGGACATCACCATCCTGAAATTCACTAAAATTTGTGAATATAACCCATTTCATTTGTCTGTCTCTCCCAAATCTCTGTCTGTGCTTTTTTCCCCCCGCTGTAATGAAGTGTCTTGCAAATTGATGTATTCTGAAATGAGTTTTTGTGTGTTACTATTTATGATCCCAAATTGGTTTGCATTTATTCTTTTGCATAGAGACTATTCCATTTGCCCCAGGGAGAGTACAGAGGGGCATTGCTGGCAAAGGATGGCATAGATCCCGTTAGCAGATGTAGGAGTCCATGAGTGCCTGGTATTGTGGGTGGCAGCATCCTTTGAAGCAACTACGGACAGCAAGATATGACGTCTTTTTCAGACATAAGGAGCATTGCATTTAGGCCAAAGATTTATGTGCACAGTGTATTGATGGGGTGATCTTAATGGGTCACTTACTAGAATAAGAGCTACATTTCATAATTTATCCACACTGATACCAATTTGTAGGTAAATCCTTTGTTTAGATGCTAGCAAATATTTAGCAATAAGCGCAGCACGTGAGCTTTGTAGGAGCTCGCTGATGCCTAAGCTTCTGGAATATAGCCAAAATTCATGAGTTTCGGTTAACAAGAGAACTTTGTGTCTAAATTAGCTGAATAAGAACCATTCCAGATAGAAACTGCACAGAACTGATAGATAGATAGATAGATAGATAGATAGATAGATAGATAGATAGATAG